GCCCCGTCCCAATTCTCGCCCTTGCCCTTAAAAAGCACACTTGCCCTAGCGTTTGCGCATGCCCGCGCGAGTGCAAGGGTGTCCCAATACTTAGGGAGACGAGGCGAGGGTCTTCACTGCCCTAAAAACCACCCTTGAGCGCAAGTGAGGTCGGGAGCTCACTTGCGAGCGAGGGTGATCCCATGATGCATTGCGAACTCGGCAAACCAGTCTTTTCCAAATGAACATGGCGCCGACTCTCGGGAGCGAAAGCTACAAATGTAAGTACAATTTCACACAAACATGCACTCTAAAAGCTATGAAACGTGTCAGAATTATGTGGGTACGCAATTTGTTCTACAATGTAGAATGCCGGTGTTGGCTCGCTGTTTCGTACGTGTGCATGTGCATGGCATGGTGTGCATTGAATTCATAAACATAGGTAAGCGTTTGTCTTCACCATTAACGTTGGTTGTGTGTTTGCAAACCTGCGCAAACAGCTTGCAGTAGTAGTGGAACTGAACAATTGACCAACGCTGTTTTTCCCCCAGGGACCACGGAGACGGACTTTGCTCTCATAAATTACAGAGCTGCGAATGAAAGCCAATTTTCTGAAAACAAAATTTCAGACAAAAAGTCTGTGGCAGTAAGTGAAACTTCTATTCTTAATAATAACACAGCTAAATGCCTATACCTCACTGTATGTTCACAAGCAAGCAGTGAAAGAGCTGGGCCTGGAGGGGAAAGTGACCCACAAGCAGGTCAGTAAGAAGTGGGAGAACCTGAAGAAGCGCTACAAGGTAATTATCTGCAAATATATCTGTCTGGTTAATCCTGTAACCTCAACTCACTTTGCTGTGTGTGTGTGTAGGACCTAAGGGACCCAAAGACTGGCTCAGGCACAGATAGTGGGGAGAAGACCGCTTCAAACTGGCCGTATTACGCTGCGCTTCACGCAGTCTTGGGGGGAAGGCCTGCTGTGGATCCCCCTGTTGTTGTGGCGTCTTTCAGGCCAGCTGAAGACCCTACAGCTTTGCTAATGGTAAGAAACAAGGGAATATTTTTATAGGGGCGGTGTACAATAAACATTAACCCAAAGGAAAGATGCATTGAACCACTAGTCCCTGAGCAGGTTGTTGTCAAACAGTAAAATTAAGTAATTGGAGAAATTATCAGACCAAAATTTCTATTTCATTTACCACAAGTTAAATAAAAAACACTGGCCAGCCCCATTATTCACTTATTATAAAGACATTTCTGCACTGAATTCACACAGACACGTCACACATGGAAACAGAGTTGCCTTTCCAATAGACATGTTTTTGTACTGCATGTGAATACTTTTAGTTCAGTGCAGGTGATGATCTCAGTTGGAAGTGAGTCCAGAACATTTTGGGACGCTGCACTCTCCACGTGCTGTAGACCGAGTGGCATGTGTACTTTGTGATGTGTACACACTGCTATGTCAGTGCTTGTAGCCGTGCAGTTAATAACTTTATTTGCCATGACGTGACAATAATTTGTCTCCAACAGGCCATTGTCAATCCTGACGAGACCCCCAGTGAGGATACTCAGTTGGGCTCTGCCTCCTCTGCACCATCGACCCGGTCTGCTTCTCCAGCTCCATCCTCAAACAATCCTCCCTCTTTACCAACCCCGTCCTCTTCATCCTCTCGCCATAACACCCCTACCCCCAGAAAAAGGAAGAGGACAGATAGCCAGAGGATTTTGGACTTTCTCCAAGCAGAGTCGGACAAGGAACAGAGAAGACACGAGGAGTCAGAGGAGAAGACTTTGCGCTTTTTAAGTCTCTTTGAGAGGATGGTGGAAAAGCTGTAGCCTGCTGCTGTGTGGCTGTTTGGGCAAACATGTCTGTTCATATTGTACATATGACATTTTATTAGAGTGTTTTTCAAAAAATAAATCTCAGTTAATGTGACTGTGTGTGTGTTGATGTTCACTGTTCTAGGAATAAATACTGAAACTTAAAGTTAGGATCTTGGGAAAGGATATAAAGAAAAGGTCATCCATTGTTCGTTAAATCATTTTATTGAAAGAATTTCCTTTACATTTAAGGGTCTTCATTGAACAATACAGCGAGCCTGTCCCTTATTGCAGTCCCTGCCCTTTCATATTCCTCAGCAGCTTCATGGAGAGGAAGTTCCGGGTCCAGGATGTCTGTTGCATCACTATCAGGTTCCAGGACGTCTCCGTTGTCTAGACATACATTGTGCAGAAAGGCACACGATGCTATAACCTGTGGTGCAAATGTAGGCTTGACCTCCAGGGCTTTGAACAGGGTTGACCTTCAGCGAGTCTTCATAATCCCAAATGCTCTCTCCACAATAGAACGGGCTCTTGACAGATGGTAGTTGAATTTCCTTTGGGCCCGGCCGTTCACTGGCTCTCGGTATGGAGTAATAAGGGCGATTGGTCCCTCCAAACAAGGATACCCACCATCTCCCAGAATGAAGTACCCCGTAGGTGGGTACCTTCTTGCAAGGTAAAACGAGCTGTTCTTCAGAATGCGCGTGTCATGCACAGAACCTGGATAGCCCACAAAAATGTCTAGGAATTTTCCTGTGTGATCACAAATAGCTTGCATTTGTATTGAGTAGAAACCCTTGTAATTTAGATAGTCCAGACGATGGAGTGATGGGGGCTTTATGCGAACATGACAACCATCAATGGCTCCAACAGCTTTGTTTAGTAGAGGTGTTCCAGCAAGCTCGGCAAAGCCGTTACTCACTGCATCAATGTCAGCCATCTTTGGAAAACTGATTGCTCGGTGTAGATTGTTCCAAATGAACTGTGCTACCCTATGGACAACCCTGTGGACAGTAGACCTAGGAATACTGAACACTCTGGACACAACACGGTAGGATAGTCCATGGGCAAGCCAGTATACATATATGAGGACCTCATATTCATTGCCCCAACCATGATCTTGCGCTCTCCTCATTACACGTTGCAGCGAATGCATGGCCTGCCTGGACAGTCTGAAGTCAGGTTTTGTGTCCAATTCGACGTCCAACCACAAGCGTAGAATAGGCACAACCACATTGACTTTACAGTACGTTGCTGGACGGTCACTCTGAAAAACAAAGAGCAAAAAAATATATAGCATGAGTGATGGCCTAAGAGCACAAATTCCCCTCATGAAAGCAGTGATGTGACATTAACAATACAAACTATACATGCAAAGGCATTACAGTACTTCATATAATATTTTCCGCAATATAAATAGTTCTCAATATACTACTGTGACTCAAGATTTCAGCGAAAGGAAAGTAGAACCAGTGTAGCCAATGCTGCACCGCTTTGTTTTTGCGTTTGTGATACACGTGTTTAGTACATACTTAAAACAGCGATGAATACTTCATGGTTAGACGTTTGGACATATGGATGTAACTTTTGATCTTTGTATCGTTTGTAGGTCGTCTTGTTTTAGACACAGTTTTGGTACGATAGTTAGTAATGTTGCAGCCATAGACTGTATATATATGCAGTCGGGCAAAGCCGCGCCATTATGAAAGAAAACAACATACCTGAAACATCCGGGCAAGCGCAACCATACGTCGAAGTCTCATCCTACGTCTGTTGCTTCTCCGTGTACTTTGCGAAGAACGGAGAAAAGCATCATAGCCCACAAAACAGGCAGAAGCTCCGCTGGACCCGGCATTTTCAAAAGTAACAACAACAGCAGTACTTCTCCGGTCTTACCTACCCTATGAAGAAATATGTATTACCGCCACCTATTGGACTGGGGTGAAATCCGAAAAACGGACATTGCGTGTGACGTAGTGGACGCTCATTTGCATACAAGGGTGTCCCAATACTTAGGGAGAGTTGAGTGCACCCTCCACTTGCACTCGCACTTGCACTCACACTTGCACTCGCACTTAAGGGCAAGGGGGAGAATTGGGACGGGGCCTTAGTCATGAAGTTCAGGCATACCAACTCAACCTATCTGGCAGAGTATGCATAAAAGAAAAGACAGGTATACACAAATATATGTTTAAACTACAGTTGTAATTCACAGGCAGTCAGAGATTACTCAGAGACTGTGAATGATAACACTCTCATTGCTAGAGGTTGTGTGAACCCAAATATTCGCAAATCTGGGGGGAACTTAACATTACAACTCCCAGAGCAGACATTTTGACAGCTCCCGTTCAAACCCATGGAATTTTGAGAAATTCTGGGAAAAAAAACATTTGTCATTTTTTCTTACATTTAACTTGAAATAAAGCAACAATTAAGTATCCAGTAATTACACATCCAAAACTTAAAGTTGTCACATTGACTGCTCCAGGAGTTCTTGCTTTTAATGTACAGTTGCAAGGCGGCCCAGGAATTTACAGGAGCGGGAGGAAATATGTGTCCAGAAGCGGTTCCTTCTCCTGTCTTAACCATAGGGAACTTCAGACAAAACTAGCACAAAAACCGTCATAGATTAAAGGTCCACATATGTTCTAACCCTAGTTTTCACAGCTCCATGTTTTGTTTTGGATTTTATTTGTAATTTTGTGTAAACTCTCCTCATACAGGATTAGTCAAAGCAAAGGAAAGTTTCGCACCCATCATCTGTACTTTTTAGCAGGTTTTCCCAACGTTTCGTCCTTAATCCAAAGAACTTTTTCAAAGGAATGGAATCTCAAGCCATGCGTTGGAGATTTATAACCTATGGGTGTGTTTAGCCACACCCTAATCCTGATGCTAACTCATAAACACATCATAGTTAGTTCCCTTGAAAAAGTTATTTGGATTATGGACAAAACGTCGGGAAAACCTGCTAAGAAGTACACATGATCCATATGATCCTTTGATTTGTTTATAATGTCACTTTCTAACAAGCTGACACATCTCAAACAAGTTCAGTTTGTAAATATTCAGTATTGGATAATTGTTAGAAGGTCATAACTGAATATGTAAAGGTCGGATCATAAGGAAAAGAAGACTTCTGTTGGAAACGTCTGTGGCTGTCTGTTGACTCATTCATGCATGCATAGCTCGAGGTAGTTACCATAGCAGCAACAAAGCTGACACGTTTACATTTACACAATAGTTATGGGAATGACAGCAAGGAATACCATCCATTTATCTTGTTGAATGAAGGTTTAAACACCCAGATAACTGATTTTCTTGTGCGTAAACTGACTTTGATCACTGATGGAGGGAATCCATTTCAAGACTCAGTATTACTTCCTGTCTATCATAAATTGGACAGTGCTGTTTAAAGCTGGGTTATTTCGTTTTTTATTATTGATACAAGTTTGTCCCAACAGAAAGTGTTATAAAAGTACTATATTGTGAACAAATCAGACCCGCCATCTGTCTCTATCTTAAAAGTGAACATGTTATCTTTTACATACTTGTAAACTGGGAGGACCTAGAATTATTAGAATCTTTGGGCTGAGAGCTGATCAAAAAATGTGATAGAGGCCAAAAATGTAGCGATAGAAACAAAGGAAGAGTTACAAGGATATTATTACATAGTTAATGTCATTCCTAATTTTCAAATTAGGCAGCCCAGCTTTAAAGAACAAAGATTTCTGTCCGGGTACTATAAAGTACACTGTCTACCTTCATTTCAACTCATCCCCACTGTACAAGGACACTGCTGTGGCCCCCCTCCCCCCACACACACACTGATAGTTTGGTCCCATACCCCAAGCCTGACCTTCTGTGCGCCTCATATGATTGGCCAAGCTCGTTGTGACATCACACTCTTGCCCGTAAGGTCTTGGAGAGTCGCCCCAAGCCAATTCATCCCGGCTTAATCAACCAAAAACAGGCAATCACACCGGCGCCAAGGGCATGCTGAAAAAGTGTCTGGAGATGTTTTTTTTAAATAATTTTACACAGAATTAAAGTATTAAATTTCCCGTGTGAATGGAATGCAAGAAATGGAGATGTACAGGAGTGAAGTATATTAATGTATGTATGTGTGAACTGGACAGGGCTTTATGTGTCTACTGAGAATTGCTGGGAATGCGTGTAGCGAGCAAAAGTCAATGTTATGTCTTTTTAACGCCAACGATATCGCCAATAAGTGTGTCTGGTTGGAGATAATGATGTTAAATGACAATCAATGAGATGACAGCGAAAGTAAGCCTCCATTGAATACTAATATAGGAAGTGCATGAGTAGGCAATATTATTCCATGGATTTTGTCAATGAGTGAAGTCAAATTGGGCCTTCACTTTAGAGAAATATAAGCGCGAGACAAGCCAATAAACTCTGAATGTATGGCTTTACGTGGATTCCAAGAATTGACTAAAGGCGCACAAACGCCTGCCAGGGTTTTGACACAACCCTGGCTTTAGCGTTAGAAGCAAAACAAATACGAGAACCTGCCCATTGATGCATAAAACATGATCACCTTATCTTTTCAAAAGTGAAAAAAGATAAGGTTGCAAAAAGTTGCTTAAGAAGGTGAAAACTTGAAAAATATGTGTATGTTTTTCAACTTTTTTTTAGTGGTACCTTACCAATGCAGGAGGGTAGACTCGTCTGCATTGGCAAGGGTCTCCAACCTTTTTTGATTGGAGAGCTACTTTTAGAAAACAGAAATGTCAAAAAGCTACTTGTTTTAATAAAATTGTATAATATACCATTATACCGTACAGTATCCCTACATTCATGAAAAGAAACTCTGAAATCTATTTGGGAGCTACGTGAAAGGAATGGGTGTGCTACTGGTAGCTACCGGGCCACAAGTATAGCTCTTGTGGTCTAAGGAAAGTCATGATCAAGGAGATTAAATAACATTTATGGAACGTTAAGTGCCCCAGCTGTAATAGAACATGTCTTCCACAACTACCATGTATATAACATTAGCTCCTCTTCACATATTCACACCTCGTCCTTGTATCGTTGGCGTCCTTTCATGTCCGTGTGTCAGCTGCGTGCTCCTTCACTGCTCTGTCACTGCTGTCACCCATCATAAACTGGAGGAATTAGAAACTTTGTAATGCTAATAGGCTTAAAGCTAGCTGCTCTTTCCCTGTAGATAGGCTGGTGTGAAAGGCAGAGTGAAAGAGCAGATCCCCAAGGTCTCTGATGTCTCTACTGCTCTGTCATGACCTTGGACTGACACTGTCTTTTGGAGTTTCTGCTTAAGTTTTCACGACAGTCTGAACAGCGGTAAGAGATACGAGGGATAACACAACACATGAGATGACTCAAGATGGATGTATTCAAGATTTGGCTTTAAATCTTTGACAAGTTGGATACATTTGATGCAGTTACGCCCTGGTTGGGCGTATCTATATATTTGTTCGGCTGCTACTGGGCACCTGAATTTATCCTACGGGGATCAATAAAGTATCTACATCAGTCTGCTTTGTGGACTATTAGACGCACCTATACATAAGCTGCACCCCTAACATTTGAAAAGAAAGTGCCTTTTGTTCACACATGCTGTACTTGAATATATGACTGTAGATTTTAATGTCGTAATGTAGCAGAGAGATGAGTGTTTATGATTAAATGACGAGGTGTCAACAGCTCAACCGTTAGCTTCCATGACTCATTCACCTTCATCTGTTTTGGCAATAAACAAGTGTCCAATAGCTACTAAAACTTGATGAAGTCAAGATAATAAGTCCATCAACTTTCCACTGACATATCTACCACAATAAAAAAATACACATTAATTGCAAAACTACATCAGCTGGAGGGTTCAAAAAGCTAGAAAACAGTAGCAGTTTATAGTAAAAATATGGTGGGTACTTTTGTGTGGTGAGGGTTTGATTCTCCAGCTTTAAATTGGCAATTTCTTTCTTGTATAGTTTTCACTGTCTGTCTGTAAAATATTTGCAGCAAATGTATGTTTTGTTTGTGCGTTCCTGCATGAAATGTTCTGTTCTCCTCTTCTTCAATGTTAGCATACGAAAGTAAGTGGGTGTTGATTCTACTTATTAATGCCTCTACGGCCCAACTGAAAACACATATATGATCTGAACCAGCCATAGGAGAGACACAGAGGGCAACTCACAGATTAGGAAATACATTTTCACTGCGGAAAGAAAATCCAGATGAAAAATGTCAAGAATGCTTTTGTGTGTAATGACAGGGGCTTAAATGCTCCTATAGCGCTGTGATGGTACCTCATGTGCAGAAAATGGAGCATGATTCCTTGGCTTTTTCCCACTGCTCCAATTCCTTCATCTGTGTGTTTCTCAAACTGCAGAGCCTTAATCCAAAAATGACATGTTAACATACACTGTAGCTCAAGCCTTCTATAGGACCCCTGGCACATTGCGCAAGCTGTGGGGAGATTTAGCCTTCGATAGTCTTCGTTTCTTCCAAAATCAGATCTTAAAACAAAGAGGGATTTATGGGGCTATAACATGGGGCTGGTGATTGCATTTGAATAAAACTTATTGAAATGGAGTAGCTGATGTTGTGCACCAAACACATACAGACGGCAAACAGGTATATTTGTGTGTGTAGTTTTATCGGCGTGTGTCATGATTAAATATACAACAGTAATAATAGTAGCAATAACAGTGGTAGTAGTAACAGTAGTAGCAAACGTTTTCCATTGTAATGCTGATGCAATGCTATAAGTCTGTCTCTGCTGGCTGCACCCCGTGAGCTGGCAACGGACAAAGTGGAAGAACTGTCCTTGTCTTAAAAGAGGTTACGAAAGATATGCACATTTATCAACATTTA